ACTTGCTTTTATCAAACAGTCATGGAATTGTTTTTCTCGGGTCTAAGAGTATCCCCAAAGTCGAAGTGTTTCCTATAATAAAGAGCTGTAATGCTCTACATATGCTTCTCTGGTGAAGAAATCGTTGAGGTGATCCAGCTGAGAGATCACAAACACCTGTTGCACTTTACATTCTTTTTGGAGTGGCCTGAGCTGGTTTATCTGAAGCTATCTGCTATCATATCTTGACTACTAATCAACCAGTAAAATTATCTTCACTGTCTGTTTCAGAGCCCTGATCTACGTAGGCCAGAATTGACCTCCGGTGCCTATTTTTCTTTCTGTCTTATTTTTGGCAGGGCATTGGTCAGACCATTCCAGAGCTAACCTTCTCCCCAATAAAGGCATCCTTCCAATGCGACAGAAGAGAGCATGTGATAATCTACAAGAACCAGCTCCAGAATTTTCTAGATGCTCCAAAGCACACTTCTGATTCAACGGTAAAGCACTGGGGTTTTGTGGATAAAACATTTTCTGCTTTCTCTTCCAGGATAGTTCTTGACATTATTTTCAAGAGTAAAATTACATTCTGTGTTTGACCATGAAATTGGAATGCCCTGTTTTTTAAAGGCCAAGCATGATACTTTTAACAAATGACTGCAGGTGTTAACTGAGTCCTTTTCAAAAAGGAAGCTGATTAAACTTTTAAAATTACACAACAGAGTAAAAGAGAATATTCTATGTGAAGCTCCCCAAGATTGTCTAGTACAGTCCCCGCGCCACTGTTCCTCATAAAATGTTCCTCACAAAAAGAATGCTTTATTTGAATTCAGTCAAGGACGTTGGCCTTAAGGTCAATTAGCTTCAGCCTTTTCAATAACACAACTTGACTTAGACCAGCAGTCTGGGAAACTCGTGGCCCATAGTTATAAAAACTCTTAGTAGGTATGTATTCATATAAATTGCCCATTGTCCCCTACAGCCCAACTTAAACCACTTTTTGTCTGGTAAAAATAGTACTATGTATGCACACAGAAGACAACGCTACACTCACAAACACCAGGACACATACATGCACTCATGGCCTCACATACATGCCACAGGGTGAAGGTAATCATTGACAGTTCTGTTTACTTCCCCACTGAAGATCATTCATTTTAAAATAAGATGAAAACACAGTAACACATCATTCCAACTGTATAGACTTAAAAGTATAAGATTCCTTAAATACTGAAGCATATCTCTGAACATGGAAACACACTTATCCGGAGTCACAGATGTCTGTCTGAGGTATACTGTATGTGTACCACTTTTCTCTGATATAAAACATTCCTTCTTGGAGGGAAACTCAATCTATACAGGATGTTCTAAAGTGACGAACATTCCTTCCTGCAGAAAAGCTCTTTAATCTCAGGAAGTAACACAATAGTTCTAAGAGATCTCAGAAACTAACCATATTCACTAAGCCCAAGAAAAGACTGCTATGTGACACTTTTGGACTAGAAGAACGGACTGGAACAGGCAGAGACCAAGTGAGGTCCCTGGAAAAGCATGTTGAGCTGCTTGCTGATTGAGTATCGCCATCCAGGTTTCATGCTTTCCTAAACTGTAAACTGTCATCCATCCTGGGGTGGGGTTTGATGATGTAGTTGTCTAGTTTAAAATGAGATTTTCCTAAGTATTTTCCCTTCTATGTTATGCTTTGTGGTCTCCTTATAAAGCTTTATGATTGCAGTTTATGGACATTCTATAGAAAAACTCTTTTTTTTTTCTTTTAATTGAAAATAGTTTCATTTTTTCATAAATTATATTCTGATTATGGTTTTCCCTCTCTTAACTCCTTCCAGTTCTTCTCCCACTCCATTCCAATCCAGATCCACATACTTTTGTCCCTTCACAGAAAAATAGGCATCTAAGGACTAGAAATAATAAAATAAAATAAAAAATTAAATTTAATTTTAAATTTAAAAAAGCCAAAACAAATCAGAATAGGACAAAACAAACAGAAAAACAAGCCAAAGAAAAAGCATGATAAATGCAGAGCCACACATATTTGCACAAGTGGGAATCTCACAAAAACACAAAACCAGAGTTCATAATGTATATGGCAAAGGGCCTCTGAGATAAAGAAAACAAAACAAACAAAACCAAAAACAACTCATACACATCATGCTGAGAGAAAGAATCTCCAAAGACACCATTGGGTTCATTTTGTGTTGGCCATTTAATGTTGGGCTTAATGAAAGAAGGGAAGATAGAAAGACCTGAAGGGGTGGGAACTCTACAAGGAGAGAAAAAAAAATCTGGGCCCAGGGGTCTTTTCTGAAACCGATATTCCAACCAAGGACCATGCGTGGAGATAACCTAGAACCCCTGCACAGATGTAGCCCATGGCAGCTCAGTGTCCAAGTGGGTTCCCTAGTATAGAAAGAGGGACTGTCTCTAACGTGAACTCAGTGGCTAACTCTTTGATCACCTCCCCCTGAGGGGGAACAGCCTTACCAGGCCACAGAGGAAGACAACGATGCCAGTCCTGATGAGATCTGATAGTCTAGGATCAGATGGAAGAGGAGGAGGACCTCCCCTATCAGTGGACTGGAGGAGGGGCATGGCTGGAGAAGAGGAAGGGTAGGATTGGGAAGGGGCTACAGTTGGAGTTCAAAGTGAATAAACTGTAATAAAAAAATCAAAAAATGCAAAAAAAAAAAGAGTGGTTTGTTTCCCCAGCAAGCCTCTTTTCAGAAAAAACAAACAAACAAACAAACAAACAAACAAACAAAAAACTAAATTGCAACTAGTTATCAATTAGAGCTAGCTTCTGGGTTAGGAATGGGGATGCCTGTCCACTTCTATCAGCTCTAGAACCTCATCTGGTGCAGAGCTATGCAGGCCCTGTGCATGCTGCATCAGTCTCTGTGAGTTCACAAGTGCATCTGTCTGGCTGTGTTTAACAGGGCTTTTGGCCTTAGTGTTCTGCATTCCCTCTGCCCCCTACAATCTTTCCTCTTTTTTTCTGCAGGATTACCTGAGCCCTGAGGGAAGGGTGATGAAGCATCTCATTTAGGACCCAGTGTTCCAAGGTCTCTTATTCTGTGCATGTTGTCTGGCTGAGAGTCTGTATTTGTCCCCATATACTGTGGGTAGAAGCATCTCTGAACAAGGCACTGGTCTCTGTGTACAGCAGACCAATGGTATTTTGTTTTTTTTTCCAGGTCCGTTGCTTACCTAGTCTCAGGTTCTTGGCTATATGGATAGTTTTCAGTATGAGCTCCATTCTCATGGAACGGACCTTAAATTCAGTCAGTTTCAGCAAGTTGTGTGCCTATCAAAAGGTTTATAGATGGGGTGTTGTTTGCCTTTCTCCTTTGGTAGTGTACTTAGTACCTTCCAACACCAGGACCATTACTGCGTAGGGGTGAAGGCTCTAGATAGGTACCAGCTCAACTTCTCCATGTTGAATGAGTTATTTATTTATTTATTAAATATTTTTTATTTTTTTATTAATTATACTTTATTCACTTTGTATCCCCCCATAAGCCCCTCCCTCCTCCCCTCCTAATCACACCTTCCCTCCCCCTTCTGTACACATGCCCCTCCCCAAGTCCAGTGATAGGGGAGGTCCCCCTCTCCTTCCTTCTGATCTTAGTCTATCAGATCTCATCAGGAGGGGCTGCATTGTCATCTTCTGTGGCCTGGTAAGGCTGCTCCTCCTTCAGGGGGAGGTGATCAAAGAGCAGGCCAATCAGATTATGTCAGAGGCAGTCCCTCTTCCCACTACTATGTAACCCACTTGGACACTGAACTGCCATGGGCTACATCTGTGCAGGAGTTCTAGGTTATCTCCATGCCTGGTACTTGGTTGGAGTATCAGTCTCAGGAAAGACCCCTGTGTTCAAATTTTCTGGTTCTGTTGCTCTCCTTGTGGAGCTCCTGTCCTCTCCAGGTCTTACTATTTCTTACTTCTTTCATAAGATTCCATGCACTCTGCCCAACAGTTGGCCATAAGTCTCAGCATCTGCAGATGAGTTTTGTGTATGTGTCAGGTTTTTTTCTTTTTTTTTTTTTGATAGCAGCCAACAACCTTTGCACTAGTCTGTTGTTTAGGGGTTCCCAAGGGACCACTTTGGACAATAACTAGATTAGATGTAACCCATTTTATTTGGTGACAAGAGATGTCCACTTGGGCTCTGTCTTTCCTGTTATTGGGAGACTTTTATTTACATTTATTTCATGTATGTCTATATTTTAAGAAAATTCTGTTTTAGGTTTTCATACTACCCTTCAAAAAGCAACAGGACATTTAAAAGTCAGATGAGAAAATGAAAAGGAACTCTTAGAAGCCTTCTCAATTAGCCAAACAAGCTAAAGATAAACATTGAAAAATATCGCTCAGTCTAAATATTTATCCATCTCCATATCCCACTTTATGAATAGGCTTTTGGTTAAAAGAAAAACATCAAACTAGCCCCCCCCCCAAATATTTTATAAGAGGATTTCACTATCTAGAAGTGACAAGAATAAATTAGTTTCCCACAATGACAATCTCTAAAGCATAAAAAGCTGGATAATAACTTAAACAAATTAACCATTGTTCTTACAAAAGCAAAGCAGTTTTGGACTAATGACATTACACTATATTTGTGGTGAAGTAGGAGGCACAAGAACACATGCAACAGGGGCTGGAGCGATAACGCAGAGGTTAAGAGCATTGAGTGCTCTTCCAGAGGTCCTGAGTTCAATTCCCAGCAACCACATGGTAGCTCACGACCGTCTGTGATGGAATCTGATTTCCTCTTCTGGTGTGTGTGAAAACAGAGAATTCATATACATAAAATAAATAAATCTCTAAAAGTAAAAGAATACATGCATAATTAGGCATTTTCCACCTAATCAGTCTCTATGGTTATCACTTAATTCTTGGCGTGTACTTTGATAAGTCACGAACTGTAGCGAGAAAGCAACATGCTCCTGGTAACAAGGTTTGTATTTGACAAGCGACTGCGTGGCTGAACACACTTCTTTTACGAACTTTGTGATTTGTGTTGCAGATGGTCACTGGCTGTAGAGCCTTGATTTGACGCTTCCGTGTTCCTGCTGCCTCCACCTGTAGTCTCTGACATTTCTTCAACTTCGTCATCATCATGGAGCTCTTTTGAAATTAACTGTCTGGCTATTTTAATATTCAGTCCTTCGTTGTAGTGAAGCTTCCTTTTTGCTTCAAACTGCCGCTTCTTTTCTCGCTCCTCCGGGGAGAGGTCATTATCCTCCTCTCCACTGATTTCTTGGTCCCGAGTCTGATACTTTGGCTCCGAGCCTTCCGCTGCAGCTAATTTCTTAGCTAAGACATCTGGAGTCGAGACTTCATTGCCTTCCAAATCACTACAGGCCTCTTCATCGTCACCTAACATACAGTGGTAAGGAGTGTTTGGCTCATCTATTTTCATCAAACCATAGTCTTTGTCAGCTAGATGATACGTTGCCAGGATGTTCATTTCATCCCACCTCTGGGACTTTTTACTCAGCTCCTCTTTGACGCTCCGGCGGGGCTGTTCGGCGGAGGCCACCACCGGGGAAGCCGCAGAGGTCTTGTTCTTCAGGATCCCCTTGATGGGCCTGCGAGAGGCCTTGGAGGCCGCTGGTCGCTCCGGCTGTCGGCTCATGATCGCTGCTGGCGTGGGGTCCTGGAGAACAGGTGGGCGCTGCTCAGACTCTCCGGGCAGCCCGGAGCCCAGGCCGGGCTAAAGCAGCCGCATCCGCTGTGGTAGAAACCATTACCAGCGTCACTGTCACGGCACAATAACTGCAAGGCCGGAGTGGACACCGCGCAGCCGGCGGCCCTTCGCTGCTGCCTGCACAGTAGCCCACAGCCTAGTCGGGATCCTGTTTTGTTTTGTTTTAATTACTATCGTTTATTACAATTATTCAGTTTGTATCCCGGCTGTGGCCCCCCTCCCTCATCTCCTCTCAATCCTACCCTCCCTCCCTCTTCTCCCCCTATGCCCCTCCCCTACTCCACTGATGGGGAGGTCCTCCTCCCCTTCTATTTGACCCTAGCCTACCAGGTCTCAACAGGACTGGTTGCATTGTCTTCCTCTGTGAACTGGCAAGGCTGCACACACACACCCCCCCCTCCCCCAACCAGGGAGAGGTGATAAGAGAGCCTGCCACTGAGTTCCTGCCGGAGACAGCCTGCTCCCCTTACTAGGGTACCCACTTGGATAATGAGTCTATGGGCTGCATCTGAGCCTGGATTTTAGATCCTCTCCATGCATTGTCCTTGGTTGGGGTATCAGTCTCTGCAGAGACTGTCTCTCCAGAGCTCAGTTTTTATGGCTCTGTTAGTCTGCTTTTGGAATGCCTGTTCCCTTTAGATCTTTCTCCCCCTTCTTTCCTAAGATTCTCTGCACTCTGCCCGAAGTATGGCTATGAACCTTAGCATCTACTTCTATACCTCTGCTTCCATACCTTGATCAGTAGAGTCTTTCAGAGGCTAACTGTGGTAGGCTCCTGTCCTGTCCCCTGTTTTCTCCCGCTTCTAATACCTACCCCATGTGCTTTCTGAGTGAGGATTAAGCAACTTTGCTAGGGTCCTCCTTCTTGTTTAGCTTCTTTAGGAGTATAGATTTTAATATCCTATATTTTATGACTAATATCCACTTATAAGTGAGTATATACCCTATGTGTCTTTCTGCTTCTGGGTCAACTCAGGATGATCTTTTCTAGATCCCACCACTTGCCTGCATATTTCATGATTTCCTTGCTTTTAGTATTGCTGAGTAGTATTCTATTGTGTAAATGTACCACAATTTCTGTATCCATTCTTCAATTGAGGGACATCTAGCTTGTTTCCAGCTTCTGGCTATTATGAATAGACCTGCTATGAATACGGTTGAGCAAATGTCCTTGTTGTGTACTTGAGCATCTTTTGGATATATGCCTAGGAGCGGTATAGCTGGATCTTGAGGTAGCATTATTCCTAATTGTCTGAGAAAGCACCAGATTGATTTCCAAAGTAGTTGTACAAGTTTACATTCCCACTATCAATGGAGTAGAGTTCTTTTTCCACATCCTCTCCAACGTGTGTTGTCACTTGAGTTTTTGATCTTAGCTATTCTGATGGTTTAGGATGAAATCTATGTGTTTCTTGCTATTCCATATGAAGCTGAGAATTTTTCTTTCAAGGACTGTAAATAATTGTGTTGGTAATTTGATGAGAATTGAATTATATCTGTAGATTGCTTTTGGTAAGATGGCCATTATGTTTAAAGACCTGGAGAGATCAGAGATAGAAGGCACTTACCTAAACTTAGTAAAGTCAATATACAACAAGCCTATAAGCCAACATCAAACTAAACGGAGAGAAACTTAAATCAATCCCCCTGAAATAAGGGATAAGGCAAGCCTGCTCACTCTTTCCATATCTCTTCAACATAGTTCTTGAAGTCCTTGCTAGAGCAATAAGACAAATAAAGGAGATCAAGGAGATACAGATGGGAAAGGAAGAAGTCAAAGTATCACTATTTGTAGATGATATGATAGTATACATGAGTGACTCCAAAAAATCTACCAAGGAACTTCTTCAGTTGATAAACGCCTTTAGCAAAGTGGCTGGATACAAAACTAACTTAAAAAAAATCAGTAGCTGTCCTGTATACAGAAGACAAATGAGCTGAGAAAGAAATTAGAGGAAAAACACCCTTCAAAATAGCCACAAAGGACATAAAGTACCTTTATGGTGTGACTTCAACCAAGCAAGTCAAAGACTTGCATAAAAAAAAAAAACAACAAAAAACAAAAAAAAAAAAAACCTTTTAAGTCTATAAAGAAAGAAATAGAAGAAGATATCAGAATGAAAAGATCTCCCATGCTCATAGCTTAGTAGGAACAACACAATTCTTTACAGAACTTGAAAGAACAATTCTCAATTTCATATGGAAAAAAAAGAACAAACAAACCAGAAATGCTAAAACAATCCTGTACAATAACAGATCTTCTGGAGGTATCTCCATCCCTGATCTCAAACTATACTATAGAGCAAAAGTAATAAAAACTGCCTGGTACTGGCATAGAAACGGAATGGTGGTTGATGGAATGAAATAGAAGACCCAGAAATAAACCCACACACCTACAGATACGATACTTTATTTTTGACAAAGAAGCCAAACAATACAATGGAAAAAAAGATTGCATCTTCTACAAATGGTGCTGGTCTAAACTGGATGTCTACATGTAGAAAAATAAAAACAGATGCATATTTATCACCCTGAACAAAGTTAAAGTCTAAGTGGATCAAAGACCTCAACATAAAACTGGACACACTAAATCTGCTAGAAGAAAAAGTGGAGAAGAGCCTTCAACTCATTGGTACAGGAGATAACTTCCTGAATATAACACCAACAGCGCAGGCTCTAAGAGCAACAATCAATAAATGGTACCTCATGAAACTGAAAAGCTTCTGTAAAGCAAAGGACACTGTCATCAGAACAAAACGACCGCCTACAGATTAGGAAAGGATCTTCACCAACTCTCTATCTGGTTGGTTACAGAGGACCAATGTCCAGACTATATAAAGAACTTAAGAAGTACAAACCAAATAATCCAATTAGAAAATGGGGCACAGAGCTAAACAGAGAATTCTCAATAAAGGTATATCAAATGGATCCTGTTTTTAAGACCAATCCGTTCTGTGTCTTTTTATTGGGTAATTGATACAATTAATTCTGAGAGTTATCAGTGAGTAGTGTTTATTGATTTCTGTTACTTTCTATTGTGGTATGGGTTTTTTTCCCTTTTTGATTTTCTGATTAAATGTTATTTATTACTTATGTTTTCTTAGGTGTGCTTTCTTAGGCTAGTTTTGTATAGGTACTGTGTGAATTTAGTTTTATCATAGAACGTCTTTCTCCATCTATTGTGATTGAAAGTTTTTCTGGGTTTAGTATTCTAAATTGGCATCTGTCATCTCAGAGTCTGTAGATCTGTCCAGGTCCTGGTTTTAGAGCCTCCATTGAATAGTCAGGTATTATTATAATAGGTCTACCTTCATATATTACTTGATCTTTTTCCATTGAAGCTTTTAATACTCTTTCTTTGTTCTGTACATTTAATATTTTGGTTATTGTGTGTTGTGGGGAATTTCTTTTCTGGTCCAGTCTATTTGGCCTTCTGCATGCTTCTTGTACCTTGAAAGGAATCTCCTTTTTAAGGTTAGAAAAATGTTTCTTTTATGATTTTGTTCAAGTCTGTGCCTTTAACCTGGATTTTTTCCCTTTTTCTATTTCTATTATTCTTAGATATAATCTTTTTACCCAAATTTCCTGGATGTCTTATGATGGGATAATTTAAGACTTAACATCTTTGATTGAGGTATCCATTTTTCCTATCGTGTCTTCAATGGCTGAGATTCTGTCTTCCATTTCTTGAATTCTTTTGGTGATCCTCATCTCTAAGTTTACTATTCAAACTCTTAAATTTTTTTATTTCCAGCTTCCCTCAGTTTGGGCTTTCTTATTGATTCTATTTTTTGCTAGCTAGACATGAAATTAGGAGATTGGATTTGGAGGAGGGGAAGGAGAATGAAAACCACCTACCTCCTTCCCTGGCTGGTGTGGTCCATTTGTTCCTGGGGAATGGCTCTGCAAGTTTGCAGCTGAGATAAAGGAATGGGATGGTGAGGAGGGGGTGGAAAAGATATGCACCAAGAAACCTAAGCAATTAAAAAAAAAAAGATGCCAAACTATTCATTTAAAGGACTGAAATTTAGATTAAAAAAAATAAAAAAGAATTCCAGTTAGGCTTGATCTAAGAGTTGCTTCTTCTATACCTCATGTGCCAAAATTTTATTGCTCTTACAGGATGTCACAAATTGTTTAGATTTAACAAATTTAACAGAGTTCATAAAATTATCTCTGATTAAAATAAAAAACAGATTTCTTCAGTTTTTGTTCGTTTTTGTCTCTTGTCTACTGTACCTTACAGTCTCAGAGAAACCTTCCTAGTTTGACTTTTTAAAACCATTTTCACTATACCTGTTTGATGTTGCATGTGGTGTGTATGATGGATAGTTTGATTATTGACTTAACATATGTAGATTTACCTGAGAAGGGGGTCTCAGTGAGAAATTTTTAGTATTAGGTTGAGCTGTGAGCATTCCTGTGAGGAAATTTTTTCATTGGGTTAATTGAGGTGAGGAGACCCACTGTGTATATGGCTGGTACCATTTTATTGGCTGGACCTCCAACTGTGTAAGATGAAAGTAAAGAGAGCTCATACGATTCAAGACATTATTCTTTGCTCTTATCTGTGGGTGTAATGTTGCCTTGACTTTCCTATGGTGATGGATCTTGAACCGTGAGCCAACCAAATCCTTTCTCTCTTAACTTACTTCATTTCAGCATCAGAGAATGAAACTAATGCAATGTCCTTTGGTATATACAGCTTTATGCCTACTGATACAAAGCTACAATAACAATTGGATGATGCTATATTTAATATCATAAAGGTCTTACACATATAAGAGCTACTACTGGCAGTAGGGAATGACAGGGAACAGAAAGTCCAGATGGGACACTTCTTTATTAGAAGGGCATGTTTGTACTTCATAGTGTAGAAGGCAATTTGCATATTTGCATTTTAAATATAACACTTGTTTCCATGAGAG